GAAGCAATCAGGATGCATTCGTGAGACCACCACAACACACACACACACACAACACACAGCCCGCACCACGCACGCACCCGCCGCACGCACGCCGCACGCACGCATCACCCACCCACATGCCACATGCCCACGGGTGTGGCACAAACACACACACACAAATACACACACACACACACACAACAGCACAACACACACAACACAACACACACACGACACACACCACACACTCAATAAGAAAGACATATCACCTTTAATAAACATCTTCCCGGATGCGTTCTTCATACCTCGCCCAACAAAGTTGAGTGGAGTTAATTTAATCGGTATTCGTGTGTTGTGTAGTGTGTGTGGATGTTGGTGTGTGTGTGGTGTGTTGCTGATTGCTGTGTGTGTCCGTCCGTGCGGCGCGCGATCGATAGCGGCGTCGGAGTCAGCGGGAGCCGGCGGAAGTCAGCAGCAGGCGACGTGATCGAGCAGCAACCACCAGCCGAGCGGCGAGTCAGCAGCACGCTACCAGCGAGCGGCCGAGTCAGCAGCAGGCGAGGTCAGTCAGCACGCAGCCAGCAGCGAGCACGGACCGAACCAGCTGCAGTAACAGCATACATAGTTACAATCTGGCGCGACGGTATGCCACTCTGCCGTGCAGTGCCTCTGATCTAGTTACTGACAGTCGAAACTAGTCGCCGAGAACTCATACAGCACTTTCTTGAAAAACGCGGCTAAGCACAACCAATCTACTCACCGCAGTTTCAATCTGGCACTGCTGTGTCTAACACGACGCTCAACCGGCGTATATACCGCATTTCCTGCTACAGACAGTAACGTATGGCAAGGAAACTAACCACAGCCAATTAACCAGTCATTGTCGCGCGTGGTCCGTCCTTGCCTTGCCAACTGATTATCAAGGCATTCAGCATAGTCTAACAGCGCCCATGTCTACTACAATGCTTGCGCAAGCAACCGCTTACGCCATACGTAGACACACACATATATACACTCACGCTCACAAGCACCAGCACTCCTTAAATGTCAAATGTCCAAGATGCCAGTATGCTCAAATGTCCAAGGCTGCTTACCCCTACCGCTACCCCTACGCCTAACCTTGAGCCTGACCCTACCCTAGCTTAGCGGGCCGACTGCCAATTTTCCACTGACCACTGGTCCAACGCGCATTTGACGACTGATATTGCGGCCATGATAGCTGAGGCGCCGAGATTGGACACTTTTGCTGTCTTCCAAATCACAGGCCTACGCCACACAGTCTTTTATTATTTTAAAGGTGGAGCAGCCATTGACACAAATCCCCATCTCAGGAACTAAGGAATTGGCTGCATGTTAGCAAACGGGTTTTCCTACAGAATAGAGTTAGGCACAAATACGAAAATAAGACACGCTGTTTAGTGCACATGCGCTACGTCCTTCTTGGTTCTTGCATTTTCGCATCGTCCGTAATCAGAATAGCTCCGACTTTTTCTCGTTGATGGAACACTGATGGGCGCGATCACCGACGTGACCAGGTTCAGCTGTACCTACTGTCTTTCGCCAGCTGTTTACTTTTTTTTTTTCGAATATAGATGCAAATGCGCCGGCGATGCATTTCACATCCGAAGGTGTTGAAAATTTCATCGGCATTTCACTCGCTGTCGAAGTGAACGAGATGCGTCATTCCAGTTGAAACATTGAAGATTTTTCTTCAACATTTAAATAAATTCCGAAAATCCCCTAACCGCCGCTACTCGTATGTTTTAGCCCACATTAACCGTAGCTGTGTGTGTGACGTCTTGCCCCCGCGCACTTTACTGCTTGGCCCTTAGCGGGCCTCGAACCATGGATATCGGCAGGCAGGGCACCTCGCAGCACGAGCGTGTTTGTTACATAAATAGCTTTGTGACTACGGTGTTTCCGGCGAGTTCTTGCGCTGATAACCTCGTTAATTTCTCAGAGCAGTTACTTAAGCGTGCATGGAACATGTTTACCAATTTTTTAGTGTTGTCAGTTAGTCCATGGATATTTTCACAGTAAGTATTATAACCAGTATATGTTTTGACATATAGTTCACCTATTGCACCCACAGGTAGCCGATCATTTGAAAATTGTCGTAGAATATTTATTTTTATTTGAGTCATTCCAAGTGCCTGTGCGTTCCAATAGTCTTGTACGTCACATGACGTGCGTCAACAAGCCACAAAAACTCAACACAATTCTCATCGGGCTGTTATGTCGGTTACGCCTGAATGCGTGATATGATCAGAAGAGGGGTGACATGTACGAGGGGCAGCATTTTTCTTTGGGGGTCCGAAAAACACAATTCACTTGACAATTTCATAGGCCATTTTCCAAATTGGAGAGCGCGCATAATGGATCCAACAAGCCCTTTGACTGACTCAGTTCAAGGACAACTTCAAAGGTCTGCTATATTGCTCTTAGCCGCCCGCTAGTTCTATATTTAGAACAAACGTCTTTATTGTTATCTTCTAAACACTAGAGAACCATCGCCTGACCGCTGTGGAGACGTGCGCCGGGCCTCGAATTTAGCTCACGTCTCCACTGCGGACAGCGCTCATACTTGAAATCACCGCGGATCGCGCGGCGCTTATCCGCGAACTGCGCGTCTCATCCGCGCCGCAGCGCGCTGCAGGATCAACAGGCCAAGCTGTGCCACGCAATCTTGTAGCATGTAGTCTCTCTGATATAGATAAAAAGTTAACCTACACGTTAATGTAATCAATATAACCTCAAACAGCGCCTGACAGGCCCCATAAATTTTCGAACTAGCTTACACACATAGTCACATACCCAAGACACAAACACAGATAACACACGCCTCTCCCCCCCCCCCTGAGAGAGAGAAAAGAGAGACGAGGAGGAGATGGAAGGAGGAGAGAAGAGAGGAGAAAGGAGAAGAGCAGAGAGAGAGAAAGAGCATCCCCCCCACCCCCTGAGACCCCCCTGTTCTTCTGGTCCACGCTCCGCTTAACCTCCTCATGCCTAGCGCCAGTTCTGGCCTATAGCCGCGTGTTTGACCGCTCCAGTCTACATCCGGGACCATACACTCTCCTCAACTGCGCCCTGCTGCGAGCCGATCTTCTATCTCTTCGGCAGCGCCACGACGAGCGAGAGAGAGAGGAGCCCGCCCACGGGGAACGAAGGGAAAGAGTGAGAGCGAGAGAGAGAGCGCACGAGAGCGAGAGAGAGAGAGACAGAGAGAGACAGAGGAGAGAGAGAGAGAGAAGAGCAAGAGAGGAGTAGAAGAAAGAGAGGAGAGAGAGAGAGAGAGAGAGAGAGCGCGCGAGAGAGAGAGAAGACGCAGGCACGCGCATACATCACCAGTTATAATAGTTCAAATATAATATGTCAGCAGACGAGAACGGGTTCTTCAACCATACGGCTGCCGACTCGGCTGGTAAACCACTCCATCGCGCTTATCCTATTGTTAGTCAGGAGGCTTATGCACATTTATCTGCCAAATTATCGAAAGACGATATTTTGGGTATTCAAATGCTGGGTCAATGTTCCTCAACTAGATTTTTTGAGGAACCAAAAATTGACCCGGGAACACCCCCCCCCCATATGGGCCCGGTAACGGGACCCGAAACTGTTATTTGCCATATTTGCCTTCTTTGGTCGATTTGAACAAAGTGTAGAGTCGAATAGGGGTTTTAAACATCAAGGAATCGATTGGACGTGGTTGACCTAGAATTTGTTAAAGGTCACGAGTATCGTTCCTTTCAGGGTTCACTCGCGGGGCCCAAAAATAGGTTTTTAGCGATCATCTCGGCCTATTTTCTCAAAAAGTTAGAGTCAATTTGGGTTTGAGGTCAAAGGAATTTATTGATCACCATCGATACACTTTCAGGACTCCTGGAAATTCGGATTTCACTTTAGTTAGCTACACGTAGTCAAAATCCGGACAGACTGTACTCCAACCTGGGGGTAGATTACAGGTAAACGTGAGAACAACAAAACGTAATCAACGAGATCTTATGCAATCAGCAATTAAAGTCTAACAAATGCATTACTACAATTTTCAAAAGCACCACAAGTTCTATTTTGGGTGCAGTCTGACCTCGCCGATTTGTATGTCACAAAAAATAGGTGGTCGGTCGCATTGCCCCCTTACGTAATTATAATACTTAATATAAATATAATTAATGCCATAATAATTACGTATAATTAGTATAATTAGTATATTTACTTATAATTAGTCTTGCTTCGGGCAACATTCATGTGGCGCGGACTCTCTGAACAAGAGTAGATAATGTGATCGTTCTCCGGAATCTCATCAACATCATGGAAGATGAAGCACGAGTATGCGTATCGTTTCAGTGCCTCGACGAAGCCTGTGTTAAACAGTTTCGCCCTGTTAAACTTCGGTCCCTCGGTCTGCGAAGAAAAAACGAAGATAGTAACACTGTAGTAGTATTTGTAGTTGCTAAGATTCGAGCATGATCACACTTCGTAGTTAACGTCTGAACGATTGCGAACGGGCACGTTGTCAGAAAAATAATAAATATAGTGGTTACTATCAATATATAGATGGTATGTAATGTAAAGGTCAGAGTAAATCACGCCTTGTGGTCATCAATCGAACCTCGGGCAGTGGACACGATTGTCACAGTTAGCCTTGTCCCTTGGTGCATTTATACGGTAAAGTGTGTGTGCGTGCGTGCGTGCACGCGTGCGTGCGTGCGTGTGTGCGCGTGACCACGCACTGACTCGGCCCACACAGGAACAGGGTGCAAGCGTGAGTGTTGACAACACCTCCTCTCCCAACGCTCGTGATCGATTCTTAGCTATATAACTCCAACACACACTCACAACCAAACACAGGCGCACGCACGCACGCACCCACGCACGCACGCACGCAGCCGCGTTGGGGAATAATAACAAACAGATAACAGACGCCGAGAAGATAATAATGAACAGATCACGGTTTTCATCCAGAGACATAGCGCACCGCGCATGCGCACCGCTCCCACTTGCCTGCTCTATGACGTAGATGCCGTAGTCCAACTGCTGTTTCTGAAGCATATCGTGCAGGTTGTTGAGGAACACGCGCAGATGCGACTTGCGATCTCGGTAAGGTACGATGATGGCCACATGGTGGCGCGACGTGCAATCGCTGGGGCGCCATCTACCGCCAGGATCGAGATTTTGGTAGCGTTTCTCGAGCTCTTTCCAGCTAGGTGGTATCGTTTTAACCTCGATCGGCCCTACTGTTATCGCCAAACGCGGAAATGTCAAAATATCGCGTAAGATTCTGACACAATATAACGACGCATGTGGCACCAAGCCCATACTGCCCGACGGTAGAGGTAGTGAACAGTACAATAAACTCAATTGATTGCTGATATTAGCTATAATGGCATGATGACGGACGGCATTCGATCTCAGATCAAATTATTTCATTAATATTATCGTATCAATCATCGTAGAAACGGCAGCACAGGTCAATTTTTATCAAATTATTTGATCAATAATTTTATAAACTGCAGCACAACACAATTTCACCGAATTATTTTCTCAATCGTTCCAGAAACTGCAGCACAGGACAATTTTTATCGAATTATTTTTTCAATCATTTCAGAAACTGCAACACAGGACAGACGAGAACGGGTCGTTGCACTGCTTTAACCCACACGCCGCATTCACTAACCGAGGTTGGGGGGCTGTACCGGACAGAGCGGCAACGTCCCGTTGACAGCCGTCACGTTGGGGAATTCGAACGCGTCCAAGATCCACCAGCCGGGTCGCGTGTCTTGTGAATGCATCGTTGCCATGGTTACCAACTGCGTGCCAACTACAAGCAGCAGTACAAGGCAGAACAGAACGAAGACGACGTTGCGACAGTAAAGCAGATACTGTAATGGCTTCTTCAGGGGCAGCGACTCCGTTTGATGCTTGGTAGCGTTCATGGTATCTACTGAGTTTTCTCTACTGACCTTGAAAAACGTGAAGAGGAATGAGTGAGTCGGCAAACGAATCGGTTCATCAGATGAGCGTCTGTGATGTTACACGAGCGCTGTAATCACTGATGACAATTGGAGGCCAGCACCTGGTAACAGTGGCGAGAGAAATAAACGCGGCTGATGGGGACAATTACAATAAACTATTCTGCGTGGTTTTATGGAGCCTTGACATCTGTAGAGTCTATGTGGTTAGGCAACAGACATAACCAGAACAAAGGGAATCGCCATAAAATGTCGTTTCTTGACAAGGTATTACATAAATCTGAGCATCACATAAGTAATGTACTAAAGCCAACATTTCATTAATAAAGCAATACAAAAACGTATACATAAGTACACGAGTATCACATACAGTAAATACACACAGTAGTAAATGTTAAGCTTGTATGCAACAACTCTCAAACACCGTTTTAATACCTATATCATGTCATGTGTTATTTTTTTAGGTTAGATTCTGTCATACATGGCAAATAGAACAGCGCACGTCAGGGTGGCGAGACAGTTATTTGAGTTGAAATGAGTGCTGCCGAACAATACTGAATGAAAAGGTATGAAATAAACTATATGATAACGTTTGGTGCAACAATTGGCTAATTTGGGTACATTCATAGTTAGTCATAGTAGACCACTATGTGTTATATTCTGTGCTGTAAAGATTCTTAGCGGTTCCTGCTAATTTTCAAATAATGATCAAGTAAATACCTGCAAAATATTGGAATATGTAAGCCGTCAATTTTAATAAACAAATGCAATGCTGATTTTTTCAATATTTTATTATTTGTTATATAGAAAGGGCATGCGTTAGACATTATGACATGCCTCGCGTGCATGTCGAACGAAACGTTTCAAGTTTTCGACGAGGCCATGGAAATGTACGAAGAAGGGAAACTGAGCGGTCAGAAGGAGGTAACTGGTTTGGAGACCAAGAGCGGCATCACGCTCAGCACGTTTAGATTTGTTCTGGGATTGGATGAAGGTGCGATGAGAGACATCTGGGAAGAAGTAAAGAATGGCGAAATGACCATCAAGCAGATGACGAAAGAAACAGAAACAATAAAGAAGCAGCGGGTTGGTTGTTTAAATACTAGAAATTGACTGAAATTGAAGGCTGTTATTTGTAGATTTTGATTAGTCTGTTGATGTGTGTTTTTTAGTTTCCTCCATGTCTACCTTGTTTCAGTCTTTATATATCCTTTTTAAAACTCACATCACTTAAAATCATTTAGAACATACGTTTATACACGTATTGTGAAGAGTTGTTGTAATGTATTTTAACAGATAATTCAGGTGAAGTTGTTACAACTACTGAAGATACGAACGTGAGAGGAATCATGCAGAGAGCCCCTTACTTTCACCAGTAGAGACTCTCTGCTTGCTTTCCGGGACTGCTCATTCAGAAATAAAACCCCAGACGAGTTTTCCCGCTACGTGATGTCTGCAACGACAAACCAATGGGTTGGACCATCCTGCGGCGAGGATGTAATATCATTCAACAATGCTACGAGTGTCGTACTCGAAGGTGACGCAACTGAGGTTGGGACTGCCCAAATAGTTGCAATGTTCAGATTATTTGAAGGAGCAGCGCTTGTGATCATCGACCCGTCAGAGGTATCATATATGTGAAAATTACTATTTCACAGTGGAAAATGACAGTTGATGTACACAATTCATAGAGTTTTTCGTGTTTTTTTTAAATGTGAATAAAGCAGGGCACTGAGCTTTAATTATTAACTCCGTGTGACGTGGCACAAATTCTGTTCTCATATATTTTGATAGAAAGAAACCTGTGACTCTAGGAATCGTGCTATCGATCGTGTATTTTTGTTGTACTGGAATAGTACCAAGGATTGCTTTGTAGCGTGTTTATTTTGTGACAATCTCTAAGACGCGAGCACTGGGGGATCGCCCTCTTTTGTAAACCGCTTTGTTTTTGGTTTTTTTCAGAACTGGACTACTTTGGAATTGTCTCAATTCTGTCTCGCTGTGCGATCAATGAATTTGGACTCGAAAGTACGGGCGTTCACCTTAGTGGTCTTATGCCAATCGGCTCGTGAAGAGGTCATCAAAATGCTGGAGGAAGATGGATTTGCGACAGAGATCGCATACGCATATTACAGCAGACGGCCGGTAAAAGGTGAGATGTTCTGACAGCAAAACATGTTGCTAATATGACAGCTTAGCATTGGTATACGCGAGTACATGCGTGAGCATGCGCAGTAGGTTCTTTCTCTCTCTCAAGATTATGGGCTCTTGTGGAAGTTGTGCTGTAAACTCGTCCGTCAAATAAACATTGATTACATTGAATATATACTACTGTGTTCTGTGTCAAGAGTATATATTACATGGTGGCAGCGGTTACAAGTTAGCAGTCGCGCGCTGTTATCGAGGCTGCTATAATGCAGCCCTCATAAAAACCGGTTGGTAGTCTGCATACGCGGAGTTTTAGCAGGAAGTTAGCAGTCGCGGCTGTTTACGAGGCTGCTATAATGCAGCCCTCATAAAAACCAGTTGGTAGTCTGCATACGCGGAGTTTTTAGAGGAAGTTAGCAGTCGCGGGCTGTTATCGAGCTGGCTATAATGCAGCCCTCATAAAAACCGGTTGGTAGTCTGCATACGCGGAGTTTTAGCAGGAAGTTAGCAGTCGCGCGCTGTTATCGAGGCTGCTATAATGCAGCCCTCATAAAAACCGGTTGGTAGTTTGCATACGCGGAGTTTTAGCAGGAAGTTAGCAGTCGCGCGATGTTATCGAGGCTGCTATAATGCAGCCCTCATAAAAACTGGTTGGTAGTCTGCCTACGCGGAGTTTTAGCAGGAAGTTAGCAGTCGCGCGCTGTTAGCAGAAAGTGGATTCTAAATTCATGGTGTAAAGCAATGTCTTATAGCAGGTGTAAAGCACACCAGCTAAATTATAAGCAAAATAGTCAACGCATAACTTTTTGAAAAGTTCGAACTTCACTTCTACTAGATTTCATAAAATTTTTCTCACCTATAGCTTGTATATAAAATTACAGCAACGAAAAGTAGTGACGCCTGTTATCTGGCAGAAATTCCTATTCCAAAATTAAAAGTATTTCCAATGGTGTTAAACCCGTAAACTATATATATAGCTCATGGGCTGTTCATAATTCCGATCCTGTTATGACTACTGTACAACATTTTACTGACTATACTGTGATTATCGTTATGTTCATTACGCTTTTGCCAGGTGCTATCTTGGCACTGGGCGTACATGTTTTATATGACACACATATATATATACACTATATATTTATGTGTCAGTGTGCAGCAGCTAGCGTGCGGTGTACTTGTGTGTTGCAGATTAGCATTTGACCGGCATTTACAGGCGATTATAGGCGAAATAGAGTAGAGAAACATTAAGACTTTGATAGGCCTAGTAAATACATTTCGTGGTTATTTTTATTTTTTTTATTTATTGAGACGTTTCAATTACCTGTGGTTACAGGTGCCCGTGCGCGAGTTTTTCGCGCCTCACTCACACTGACACTGTGTGAAACCGCCGTAGAGCCTAGCCCTACGGTTCACTACTAGTGGTCTTGCCTAAAATACGCTTAATTATTAAACAAATAAAATCAAAATACACAATTAATTATAATTTATTCTTAATTATTCAATAAATCGATTTTGGCATGTAGCGTAGCCCAGTGTTTTTCTAACCGCATAATAATAAGTTTAGAAGATAAGTTCTTATGTCGCAGGGGTTATCGTGGGGAGTGAGGGCACTGCAGATTACAGCCCAGTTAATTACTGCAGTACAGAATGTTCAGAATCAACCGAGCTAAATTTCTCAAAAGTGTCTGCGATCCCAAATACATGTACATACAGATCTTCGCACAACTGAAATTTATAAATTTATATTAAATTAGATTCATTTTAATATATTACTGTATTATGAGTGTGTATACTACTGTGTGAACGACCCTACTACACAGTTCCGTAAAGTTGGACTCAGGTCGCCCTACGACCCGTCTAATTTATCGCCTATTGACATCGTAACAAAACTCATGTTGATTTGAGGTGATTTTGGGCTGTACATCGCCGATCAGTATTTATAGCACCGACCAGATCGTAGCGTTCTGCAGGAAACGTAGACTGGTTCACGGCCCCAGTGTTTGTACCAGCACAAACAGTTCTTTAGCACAAACAGAGCAAGCTTGACGCCGGGACCAGTCTACATAAACCAGTACTCTTTATATTTTTAAATCAAACCTTTTTGCAAATACTTTAAATAAAATTTAAAATTTACAAAGCCATTGAACAGACACTTACACATGTGGCTACACAACTGAGTTTGACATACAAGGAATATCGACTGGGAACACGAGCAGCTGCTCGTGTTGCTTAGCCATGTGCCATCTTTGAATGACATCACCTTTGTCACCACAGGCACTTGGGCCGTTTCAATAATAAAATGATGGTTAATAAATACAACTTGTCAGTACTAGACCTACCAGTACCAGTAATAGTCTTAATGTTTGATTTGCCCT